CATTTACAGTGACAACGGCGTGAACAACACAGAGAAGTTACCTTAAGAAGCACAGGTTAACAACAGTGTCGTGAAGAAAAAAATAAAAAAAAATAATAAAATTTACGAACGTTTTAGGTAAGAGATCGTCTTTTGAACAGCACTTTTAGGTGCTGCTATGTCTTCCATTATTTGTATATTGATAATAAAGTCGATTATGAAGAAATATAAGCATGCAGCGGTATGAGCACACGTGCGTGCATACGTAACACGTATAGGCATACATGTGCACAATATGTTTTTAGGTACATGCACGCCTATACGCCAAATAGGGTATTGAACACTTAAAATTATGTAACTGAAATACGGCATAATATTATATAATAAAAGTTAAATGCAAGATATTTTCTCGTTTTAATCCCGCGCTGTTAACATTTTATGTATAGCGTTCAATTGTATAAATCCATTTTTTTCACAAACTCAGGAAAAGTTTTCCCATACGAGGAGGGGCAAGTAAAGTAGTACTCACGATTCCAGCTTAGACTCCAACGTACTAGAAGATAGCATTTCCGAGGCTAGACTGAACTGCAAGTACTGTATAGCTCTTACAAGGAGAGTGCAAGTCCTTCGGTTCACCGATTTAGTTGAAACTTTGCAGATTTGTAGATATCGTCATGCAGTTCAAGAAACTATATCATTACAACCGTAATTACTTAATAGTTTTTGAGATATTTACGATTAAATTTTTATTACTTCATAATTATAGTTTATTTTAAACAGTTTCCAAATGGAGTTGTGGTCTAACGGCGACATTCGAAAAATCCTCTAGTGGAAGTTCGCGGTTCGATTCCTGTCTATAGTTAGGAGTCTTTTCCAATCTATTTTTTATTTTGTATTCATTTTGCGCCACTGAAAACATTGTAAATGAAAAATTGTAAATAAAATTTCTTAATAAAAAAATTTATTTTTTACGCTTTCTTACGTTAGTATACATTTATTACAAAACAGTAAGAATGTTATGCAAGAAAAACACTTTTCTATAGCAATCTTATTTACTACAGAAAGAAAATGAAAATATAACTAATCATTAGATACAGGAAATACAAAACCTATCGCTCATGTACGTATTAAACATTAAATTAAACATTATATAACAATGTTGCTATAATTCCAACTTTACTGTGCCATCATCACTCTGAAATATAAATGAAATATAATTAATATTTATGACTTAGCCACATTCAGACGCTATATTCAATTTACCTTTACCTTTCAAAACTATTACCAAGTGTTCATTCTCCACCTCCTCAATGATCCTCATATTTGCATTTCGATGCCACACATCCTTCTCTCTTAATATATATGCTGCCTCTTATATGTTTCTTAGTTTGACACAATATGAATTTGATCTTCTCATTGCTTTCATTCGAACCTCTCTCTTCCCTTTATATACCTCAGCTCCATCATTCTGAAACGTAACACATTAGGAATGATCATTGACTTTGACCAGTGATATTAACATTTATTTAGATCAGAAATCAACATACCTTTCAATCTCACAATATTCTCGATATCGAGTTGCTATAGGAGGTCAACACCCAAATTAATTACATTCCCTTTTGTTTGCCTAAGCCATCTCCATTGTATGAATCTTTATTTGAACATCAAAGATTTCTATCTTGTATGTCATAAGGTTAGCCGATCCAGAATCCAATAGACATATCATAACTTACATATTTGTATTACTGATTCAATTTTTTCTAGCTCTAAAATATAATTCTTTGCATCCAATGGCCTTACGCTGGTGATATTCCACGAGTCCAATATTTTTCTACCGTTGTACGGAACTGTTTCATTCAACAAAATATTGTCTTAAACATACTCTACGCTGTTATACCAAACAAACGTAATCAAAATGCCTAATTTTCGAAATAGAAGCCAAAAAAGTCTTCTACGCAGCATGATTTCACAGCCACTGAAACATTCGGCACTATATCTCGAAAGCACACACGAAAACGAAAAAAAATATCCATTCCCGTTAAGAAAAAAATCACTCTACGCGAATCAGTGGAAAAATCCGATTTAAAAAGTCTAATTCAAAAACTAGAAGCCAAAAAAGTAAATTGCGCAGCACGATCTGAAAGCCACTGACACTTCCAGCACTATTTCTCGAAAACGCACGCACGAAACCGAAAAAAAATATACAATCCAGTTAAAGAAAATTCCCCTCTACGCCGGCATGTGGAACAAACCTAATCAAAAAACCTAATTTCGAAGATAGAAAAGAAAAACATCTACTACGCAGTACGATTTCACAGCCACTGACACTTCCGGCACTATTTCTCGAAAACGCACGCTCGAAACTGAAAAAAAATATCCAATCCCGGTAACGTAAAAATCACACTATGCGAATCAGTGGAAAAATCCGATTCGAAAAGCCTAATTCAAAAACTAGAAGCCAAAAAAGTAAATTGCGTTGTACGATCTGACAGCCACTGACACATTCGGCACTATTTTAGAAAAACGCACGCTGGAAACCGAAAAAGAATATCCAATCCCGTTAAGGAATAAATCATTCTACGCGAATCGGTGGAAAAATCCTATTCAAAAAGCCTAATTCAAAAGATAGAAGCCAAAAAAGTAAATTGCGCAGCACGATCTGAGAGCCACTGACACTTCCGGCACTATTTCTCGAAAACGCCGGCTTGAAACCGAAAAAAAATATCCAATCCCGTTAAGGAAAAAATGACTCTACGCGAATATGTGAAAAAATCCGGTTCAAAAAGCCTAATTCAAAAGATAGAAGCCAAACAAGTAAATTGCGTCGTGCGATCTGACAGCCACTGACACATTCGGCACTATTTTAGAAAAACGCAAGCTTGAAACCGAAAAAAAATATCCAATCCCGTTATGGAATAAATCACTCTACGCGAATCGGTGGAAAAATCCTATTCAAAAAGCCTAATTCAAAAAATTGAAGGCAAAAAAGTAAATTGCGCAGCACGATCTGAGAGCCACTGACACTTCCGGCACTATTTCTCGAAAACGCACGCTTGAAACGGAAAAAAATATCCACTCCCGTTAAGGAAAAAATCACTCTACGCGAATATGTGAAGAAATCCGGTTGAAAGAGCCTAATTCAAAAGATAGAAGCCAAACAAGTAAATTGCGTCGTGCGATCTGACAGCCACTGACACATTCGGCACTATTTTAGAAAAACGCAAGCTTGAAACCGAAAAAAAATATCCAATCCCGTTATGGAATAAATCACTCTACGCGAATCAGTGGAAAAATCCGATTGAAAAAGCCTAATTCAAAAGATAGAAGCCAAAAAAGCAAATTGCGTCGTGCGATCTGACAGCCACTGACACTTCTGGCACTATTTCTCGAAAACGCACGCTTGAAACCGAAAAAAAATATCCAATCCCGTTAAGGAAAAAATCACTCTACGCGAATATGTGAAGAAATCCGGTTCAAAGAGCCTAATTCAAAAGATAGAAGCCAAAAAAGTAAATTGCGTCGTACGATCTGACAGCCACTGACACATTCGGCACTATTTTAGAAAAACGCACGCTCGAAACCGAAAAAGAATTTCCAATCCCGTAAAAGAATAAATCATTCTACGCCAATCGGTGGAAAAATCCTATTCAAAAAGCCTAATTCAAAAAATAGAAGCCAAAAAAGTAAATTGCGCAGCACGATCTGTGAGCCACTGACACTTCCGGCACTATTTCTCGAAAACGCACACTTGAAACCGAAAAAAAATATCCAATCCCGTTAACGGAAAAATCACTCTATGCGAATCAGTGGAAAAATCTGATTCGAAAAGCCTAATTCAAAAACCAGAAGCCAAAAAACTAAATTGCGCGGCACGATCTGAAAGCTACTGTCACTTCCAGCATTATTTCTCGAAAACGCACGCTTGAAACCGGAAAAAAATATCCAATTCCCTTGAGGAAGAATTCCCTCTACCCTGTTAGACCGAAAAAATCTAACCGAGAATCTTAATTTCAGAAGCGTAGGCGAAAAAATTATACTGTGTAGAACGATTTCACAGGCAGTTGCTTTTCCGTTACTTTGTTTCATATATACACCTTCAATCGTAATGTAATTGCCCTACTGGTTGGAGAACAGCCTATTCTATGCAGTAGGAAGGAAATATTCTAATCCACAATTGAAATTTAAAATGTAAAAGAGATAATACATAACTATATTGCAATGGAACGTCAAGATCGAAGAAAAATTGAAAAAACTGTTTAAAAGCTGCCTATTCAGAGTAATGTTGATCTAATATTCCAACGAACTGTTGAAATCTAGAATCTTCTACAGGCAATAATAACGGACAATGCGGTAGTATTATAGGATCGCGCACTCACACCACTTCATTTCGCACATGTATCATTCCACAGTTTACACTATGTAACGTCACTTTTTTTCACATGTAGTATATTACCACCGTAGAAATGTTCACAGTTAGTAATCTTGAACTCCGTAAAGTAATTAAAACGTCAATCAACGATA